AATTAAGTAAACAGATTAGATTATATATATATAAAGAAATAATAGAAGTGAGATATGTTTATAAGTCTGCCCTAGATGAATATGAATATGAATTATAAGAGTGCTATATGATTTATATTAGGATAAATCTTGAGGATATATATATATATAGATAGATATGAAATGCAATGAAATGAGTTATATGAATACATAATTATGTGATGAAATGGTGGATTACCTGAACATGTGAATATATATGTCTAAGAGAAGGCATAAGATTAAGATATAAGCAATGTGACTATAAGTATATCTATGCTCTAAGTGATATGACTTATAGGTATTTCTATTATAATGTTACATAATATGTTATGGATGTTAAATGAATTATGTGATGGTATAAGAAATGATATGAAATATATATGTGAAAACAAGTATATGTTATGAGATAAGACCTATGACTATAAGCTACGTGAAAGTGTTCTAGGTGTTTTGATATATTATATGAAGTATATGATCTTATGTGAACAAGATATGATAAGTATGTTACATGAATAAAGGTGATTGGATGAGAAATGATAGAAATTATATGAAAACATGACATATGTGACATGTGAATTATATGGAAATGATCTACGTGTAAGTGAACTACGTGACTATGTGATAATATGAAAAAAAGCTATGTGATACGTGATATGTGAAAGTGAATTACAAGTTTATGTGAATATTTGAAATGAAATAAATGATAACGCCCATGTTATGTGTCATGAGAGCTAGGGGTATAGTTGGCATGCCAAGAGTCGAGGGTCTACGCGGTCCTTCGGGACATATGTATATTCTTTGGAACATGTGTGAAGTCTTGAAAGACACATATATGATCCCTAGCATATGTATATGATTCTTAAGGAATTCTATGTGGTCCTTATGGACATTATTATATGGCACTACGTTGCAATTCTACGCGGTCCTTCGGGACATATGTATATTCTTTGGAACATGTGTGAAGTCTGGAAAGACACATACTTGATCCCTAGCATATGTATATGATTCTTAAGGAATTCTATGTGGTCCTTATGGACATCATTATATGGCACTACGGTGCAATTCTACGCGGCACTTCGGTGTAATTATACGAGCTGTGGTGACAGCATTAGTGCACAACCTCTATAGACTCACATATCGATAGTTCTCACATATGTACATGGGCTAATCCAGAGATATGAACAAATATATGTTAGTGGTATGATAAATGCTATAGAAATGATATGATGTTGTGTGTGTATAGAGTTTGATTGAAAAAGTATGTGATTACATGATAAACTGTTAATGATGAATTATGTGTAAGTATGGATTTACTGTAATTAATCTGATATGATTTTATACGATATGAAAAATGCATGGAATTGCTATAACATGATAGAACAGAACATGCATGTATCGGTATATGTTATAAGGTGCATTATAAGTTGTTATGCCTCACTAAGTCTTCGACTTAGCGTGTGATTGTTTCACACGTAGGTTTCGAGAAGAGTAAAGAGTAATGCGGAGCAAGACAGGTCAGTTTTCCTTACCAAAAGATCAGATCAGAAATATTTGACAAAGTATGTATTTGGTTATGTATAAAGTGTTGGCATGTAATAAGTCATTAAGTACAAGCACTCTGATAAAGTCTGTATTTTGTTTTAAATAAAGTTTTAAATTTCCTGGGATTTTTCTTAAGAGTCAAGGTTTGAAAAGTCAATGTGACACTTCGGACTCGTATCCGGGTTGGATACGGGTTAGGGGTGTTACAGTGCATCCATGTCACCTAAGGATGATGCAGAACGAGAATACATGTCAAAGGTTCCGTATGCAAGTGTTGTTGGTAGCTTGATGTATGCAATGGTGTGTACGAGAGCCGATATTTCATAGGCAGTTGGGGTTGTGAGTAGGTATATGCATGATCCTGGAAAGGAGCATTGGCAAGCTGTGAAATTGATTCTGTGGTATATTCTGAACACCGTAGATATTGGTTGTGTCTTTCAACAGGACAAACAAGATGGTCAGTGTGTAGTTGGGTATTGTGATTCAGACTATGCATGTGATTTGGACAAGCGTCGATCAACTACTGGTTATGTGTTTACATTTGCAAAAGCACCAGTCAGTTGGAAGTCTACCTTACAGTCAAAAGTGGCTTTGTCTACTACAAATGCATAGTATATGGCAGTTACAGAGGTTGTGAAGGAGGCAATTTGGCTTCAAGGGTTGCTTGGTGAATTGGGAATGGAACATAAGCACATCAAAGTGCACTGTGACAGTCAGAGTGCTATTCATTTAGCAAAGAACCAGGTTTACCGTGCAAGGACGAAGCACATTGATGTTCGATATCACTTTGTACGAGAGATTCTAGAAGAAGGTGGAGTCATAATCCAGAAGATTCGGACCATTGAGAATCCTGCTGATATGTTGACAAAAGTGGTCATTACGGTCAAGTTTAAACATTGTTTAGACTTGGTCAATATTGTTGCAAATTGAAAGATGAATTTACAGACACTACTGAAGATTGGATTTTTTTAGAGATGTGTGTGGAATTTGCCAAGGTGGAGATTTGTTGGTTTTTTGGCAAATTTTGAATCCCATATTGGTTTTGTATAAGGAGGAGGGGAAATTCTTTTGTTATAAATAAAGCCCTCATCCTCCTTAGTTTAGCATCCCACAAATATAAGTCTTCTTCTATATTAAAAGCTATTTGTACTCTTTTTTTTTTTAATATTTCCACTATTAGTGAAATATTATTTTAGTAGTGTTCGAGGACGTAGGGATAATTTTGGCCTAACCTCGTTAAATTTTGGTGTTCTCTTTTATGTCTATTTAATAGCTATTATCGGGTATAGTTGTTAATTATTGTCCTATTAAAATTACTTGTTTTGGTAGTTCTGTCTAAAAGAGTGAGTTTTAAGAGGAACCATTGTGACCCCACCACTTTTTCCTGGGAATCTACCTTGGGGTGATTTTTAGTACAATCGTTTTCACACTAGTCACCTAGATAATAGTTTTCAAGGTGAATTTATTATTATTGGTGGAAATTAACCCGTCTTCCACAACATTTACCCCAGGCAGGTATTCTTCATTTTCACCATTTACAGCCCTTTGGATATTAATAATGGAGGAAGTAGTTCAGAGGAAGTTGCACCATGGATTCATTGCTTGAAGGATTCTTGTACCAACATATCCAAAAATATGTTATAAACTTCAATGGACTTAGTATATAGCTTAAATTCATGTAAAAGATCCGAAAGTACGAGAAAAATAAGCCGAAAGAACTGTCAGTTGGCCATTTCGTTCATCCGTTCATGCCAGGGGAAAAAGAAAAGTATTTTAAAAATGGGTCAATTAGAACTTTGTCCCTAAATTACTTTAAATTTATAAAATGATCCCTAATTAGTATTTTATCTAAAGTTCAGGATTTAAAGTAAAAATTAAACCCTTTTACTAACGTTCCACGTCATCAAATTAACAGAAATTAACGTTTTAGCGGCCAAATTTTAATTAAAATAAAACGAAAGTGACTATGTATTATGGTTTTTTAAATCCAGTGATCATAAGTTTATAAAACTCAAACAGAAGTGATCACATATGTAGTTTACCCTTCTTTTAATAATATCCTATTCAAGATTAATTTAATTTATTATTTACTATATTTATTTTGTAAAATTTTAAATTTTGAATTTGATTTGATTTTCAAATATAATATGAACTAATTTTATAAATAATAATAGAATCATTATTATTCATTAAATCAAAAATTTCTTGTGATTTTAATAATTTTATAATTTTATTCATTGTTTTTTTAAATATTTTCATTTTCTTCTCTAATATAATATAATATAATATAATATAATATAATATAATATAATATAATATAATATAATATAATATAATATAATATAATATAATATAATATAATATAATATAATATAATATAATATAATATAATATGTTTGAGGATGATGCTGACATGCTCGATGAGCACGAATGAACACCGTTAATGATAAGTAATATTAAATTAATTTATAAAACATTAAATTATAAAGTATTAAACATATAATTATAAATTAATTAAAAATCTAAATATAATTTAATTAAAATACAATATTTATAAAACATAAGCTTTTATAATCTTATTTTAATTATAATTATATAAAATATTAATTTAGGGAATTTATAAACTCTAATTTATTTTCATAGCTTTTAAGCTCCCGCCGTCACTGTCACCATCGCTACTGTTATAATTACTGTCACCACCGTTGCCGTTATCATTACCGTCATAACCGTCGTCGTCGTCACTAGAATCATCTTTCACCACGAAAAACGATAAAGACTAAATTGACAGCGAAAGATGATACCAATGGGGTGGCGACGACTTCAAAGCCATGAAAATAAATTAAGGTTTATAAATTTCTCAGATTAATATTTGATCTAATTATAATTAAAATAAGATTATAAAATTTAATGTTTTATATATATTGTATTTTAATTAAATTACATTTAGATTTTTAACTAATTTATAATTATACATTTAATACTTTATAATTTAACATTTATAAATTAATTTAATGGTGCTAATTGTTCACTGTGTTCATCCATGCTCGACGAGCGTTGTAGAACTTTTCTATGTTTAAATACTGTCAATTATTTTACATTAAACATATCTATAAATTAAGACAACAGCCAATTATATTGGATATCAACATCGACTCCAAAGTTGAAAAGATATTATATAAAGTCTTGGATTCTTTTGGAAAAGAATGTGATTAAATTTAAAAGGCTATTAATTTGCGTGGTTTTAATAACAAATGATTCCTGTTGATGATAAAAGTGAAGAAAAATCATCCCAATTTACCCATATCCTCTCAAAGAAAAAGACATCCGCCCTCAACTATCTTGGTCCCATTTTATCTTCGTATTATATACGTATGATATAATATTTTAAAGAAAAAATAAAATATATATTTGAGGTAATCATATCATAATAAACCAATATATGCTAAAAAATGTGCATCATCATTCATCAATATATTAGTAATAATTTTCTACAAGAACAATGATTCTATACAAGATTTCAATGTTGCATCCCTAAAGCAAATTAAATGCATATAAATATATATATATATCATCATTTCCCATCAGTTTTATTTTCTTCTACACCAAGTCCCACTTCTCCCTAATAAACAACAAACTATATATAATTTACCTATTATCTATGGCCTCAAGAGTTGAAACTTTGGCTCATCTATCTTCCCGTAATAATCAGATTTATCAAATATTGGTGACTGAATCAACAAGTGTAACAGGAAACCGGTGAAAGTTTCCAAGCTAGTTGAAAATTTAGAGCTCCTTAAATATTTTCTCTAAAGGGCATGCAAATGATAAAATCCACAGAATATCCAACACCTGGAATTCAATCAAGAGTGTACCAGTTCAGGCCCGAAAGTTGATACGATGGCCTAAAGATCCCATCTTCGATTGACCCCATCATTGTTTGTTGTTGTTGCGATGAAGGGGTTTGAGGAAGATGGTTAAGCAGGGATGCAATTAACCCATTTGTGTCTGGTTTCTCCAGGCTTCCATCATTGCTATTATCCCCATGGAATCTCTTGCCTGTTGAAGGACTGGCTGTTTCGTCATCGGTCCAGTAAACAGATGGTATACTTCTTTTAAGAGGGTTAAACATGGATAGATCTGGCTTTGAGCTCGAACAATTCATCCCATCACTCCCCAGCATTCCATCGAACCTGTTATGTTCATGATTTGCAAGCAATGTCCCGAAACTTGTGGCGTTCGTTTGGAATTGGAGACTGCCGATTGATATTGAAGTTGACACTGGCCCAACCATGTTATCCATGTAGTCATCTTTATGATGATCCAAAGATCTATTTGTGTTTTTCTTCTTGTAGATTCTACATAGCACCCAACCATCGAGCTATCAAAAGAAGAAAATCAAGTTTCAAACAATCAAATCCAGATCAATATGTATCATAAACTTAAATTTAAAACTGATAAAAAATGATTACCCTTAGTGAGTTTTTCTTGTAGCCCAAGTCACATCCAGGGGGTTTGTTGTTAGTCTTATCAGGAAGCCTATATTCATGCATGATCCAATCCGTTTTGATACCTTTAGGAGGCTTCCCTCCATAGAAAACCAGCGCTTTCTTTACACCAACCTTTTGAGTCCCTCCCGAGTTTAACACCGGCTTATCGGTTCCAGTAGCCTTCCAATAACCCGAAGTTGCCGCCCTGTTAGGCCTCGCTCCGTTTGGATACTTTCTGTCTCTTGGACTAAAGAAGTACCATTCTTGCTCACCAAACGAAGCCTTAGCTGCAAACCGGAAACAAATTAAAATATCATACAATTTAAGTCCATGTCATCGTAATTATAGTATGTAAAAGAAGGTTTTACCTGGTAATTCCCATGGATCAAACTTATATAAATCAACCTCCGCGATGATTGCAACTGGTAGAGGAGCAGAGCTAGCCTTCTTCTTGAGATAGTGGACGACTAGTTCTTCATCGGTGGGGTGGAACCTGAAGCCCGGTGGGAGGTTCGGCTGCTGCGAGACGGTCGTTGAGTCGGTGCTTTCCATTGCTGAAACTTTTAACGATTAATTCACTGAGGAAATTGAGAATTCTTTTGCTGAAAGTTTACTAGTGAACTCGTCATAGAGCTCAAGAAATGGTTGCATAGAGCTGGCAATGGCATCCCCATTCTTTTAAAATGGCCATAGTTAGTGTTTTAACACACCATAACCGGCATCGTTTTGCTATTTAATTCATCCAATCTCGAGTCGATACGCGAGGAGGTACAAAAGGGTATTCAAGTCATTTCATTGTTTGCTAATACTAGGAATTCGGTTAGCTGATTTCATGCGCAGCTGGTTGACAGAAGACATGCAGTGGTTGCCGAAGTTGATATATGTGAAAAGAAACCCTCGATATTGATTTATATATTGATATTAAATTACACCTAGACACAACTTAAATCCTTAAAAATTAATATAAAAATAAAGCTTTTAATAAATGACATCATATAACTCGAACTATATATATTTCATAATTTATACATAAATTATTGTCCCGCCCTCATACATCATAATTAAATTAATCTTATAATTCAAACTTTTGATACAAATTAGTTTAGATGTATATCTATCGAGTCAAATGGTCTTAACACTCTAAAATTTTAAAAATATAATATTTTATCTCTTTACAAAAACTAATTTTTAAATATTTTAATTAAATATCTTCTTAAATTTTCAAACGATTCTATCGAGTCTTAAATATTTTTATTTTTTTCAATTAAACTTTTAGGTTTGAAAAATACAATAAATACATCAAAATTTTTAAAAAAATTGATTTAAATAAATCTCTCCAAACTGTATTTTGGAGATCGTCATTAGATTAATCTATAAACACTAATAATCTGCTGACCTAACAATGAAAGTCTACGGTTGATTAAATATTAACATTCCGTCTATAAAATATCGAAATTATGTATGTCCGAAAAGGGAATGATCATGGTGACATGAACTGAGGGTCCAGCCGGTGGTGGATCGACACGCATTATTCCCAAGCAAGATACGAATCGACACGTGGGGCATGTAGCGGGGTCCACACAAATGCAACAAAAGGGGATAACATGGAGAGGAGATAAGTGTGGGGGATGGGCAACAAAAGATGACATGCATTTGTATGCAAAATCCCACCACCAAAAGGCAAAAAAAAAAAAAAAAAACAGAAGCCAATTTTTGGTGACTAATCGCTGGCCAGCACCACATCAATTCAAAAACATTAATAAGTAAAACAAAATCAAATCGGTCGGAACCAGACGGGGGCCTTGCTTGTTATTTGTTTAAATTTTGATCATGTTTTGTCCCACGTGTCTTTGATTGAGACTCAAGAACTTAAAAATACCAGAAATCTCATGTTTATCTTTTGAAATTCAACCGTAAAGATATTTCTTTATTTTTATCTTTTAATGTTTTTGTCTAATTACCATATCAATATTTCGTTTTATGATTCTCCTCATTAAAGTGATTCAATATTCTTTTTGTTATTTAACTGCGGATCAAAATGACGTAGTTTTAGTTTTTATTCTTTATTATTGAAAATTTTATAAATTTAAAATTTAAAATCTGAATTAATAAATTAAATTGATTCGAATAATTTAACTTGAACAACTCAAAGTTAATAAAGAATACTTTTTGAGTCGAACTGAATTTTATTCACATCTAATCTATACCATGATTATTGTTTTTACTTTTTAAAACTCGTGATTTAATAGAATCGAACTCGGTTTATTTTAAAATTATTATAATTATTAATATTTATATTTAGAACTTCTAGAAAATTATTATATAATCTAATCAGGCTAAACACATCCCCCACCACACATTTTCCACCCCAATTTCAGTAGAATGTAAGGGGTAGAAAACCTCAAACATTAAATCACCACTTAAGTCACAACCTCAATATCTGTCAACTTTCCTACACTTAATCTTTCCACATAATGAACTATTTAGAAACAATAGGGAGAATAAATAAGTAAATAATAATTGTGATGGTATCCATGGCTCACCTAATCTTTAATATTTTCTACATAAAATTTTAATCGATTCACAACAAAAAAAAAAGTAGACATTGATGTGGGTAATAATTGCATTAAAAAAGAATTAATTATTATAAAATATAATCAAATTAATAATCAGAATATTTATAGAGAGGACTTACATATGATATAATTAAAATCATAATAAAATGTGAAAACAACTTACATATGTTTTTAGGTAATGAGAGTGAGAGACGGGTACATGGAGAATACGATGAACTCTTGTCCCTCTAAAAAATTTAGTGTAATAGTATTTTAGGTCTCTATTAATTTAAATTTAAGTAAAATTAAATGTTGTCTCCTCCAAGTTTTTAGATTAAATACCTAATAAGCTCTTATTGTTTTGATGAGAGTTAAACTAGATTTAATTACAAGAAAAAAAACTTTTAAAAGCTTAATATTCTTCTACAATCTGCTCATGTCAATTGCATAAGCCTTAAGCCAATGAACATTGATGATGCTTTTACCAAATTATGTTACCAATCGTCTTCTTTCTCTATCAATGCTAACCTAACATTTTCCATTATCTCGCCCTTTCTCTAATGAAAAAGGAGTAATATTCCTCCACATGCTTATATATGCACGTATTTTTGTTTTAGAATTTGCCGGATATAGCCTTTTAAACAATTAATTAATATCGATATATTTTGGAATTTATTTTTCATTAATGGTTTTTATGGTATTGAAATTAAATAATCTAAAAATCCAATCCTATTTTGCTAATAGCATTTCCTCAGCTTATTGAATTCAAGTCATTAACCAATAAAGCACAAACTCAAACGTCTAAAACTCATCAATTCCTTATCTCCAAACTCTCTATAAAAAATAACATGTAAGATACATGAACCTAATTTAATGAAAAATAGAAAAAGGTATTTCATGGTACAAGTAAAGGAGTAATATAAACTGTACGCTTAACAACATCATTGATTACATATGTAAGTATAAATATAATATACATATCTATTTTTCTTTGCTTCGATTCGAATTTATTTATAAATAAAATTCATCTATGTATACATGTAAATAAAGCACAAAAAGTATATCAATATTATGAAATTAACACGAGGGTTTTCCTTTTCAAATTTGTATGTTGTTGGATGAAGTTATCAAGCCTAGTTTTTTATGATAGCTCCATTTGCTTTACGATGGAATAATATCTTTTTTTATTATTAAAAATATCCTTACTGATTAGATATTTTAACACATTATATTTCTGGACTTGGATAAAAAATAATAATCCAATTAAAAGTTTTGGGGGTATAAGCTTTTTCTTTATAATTAAAATATCATCGTTTTCGTATGGTAGGGATTTGGTGCCAAACAAGTTAGTATAAATAGACAGTATCACACCGAGCATTACGCCACAAGAGGCACAATTCTCCTACTAATTTTTCCAACAGATTTCGACAATGTCACAATTTGCATGACCTTTTCACATGTGATGGCTTCTACGACTTGTTACTTGTCATACATATTATAATTATGATCCACTACATACCCAAAATTTTAAAATTATGTATATGTTGGAAATTAAATATAATTGTAATTCATTTTATAAATTCAAAGTTTTTGAGTTGAAATCTTGAAAACTATTTTTTCTATTAATATTTATCTGTTTGATTTCTTATTGTCTATCGAAATGTGAGCTTTTGTTTTGATTACAAATGAAAAATATAAAATAAATTATTAATTCCTCAATTTCTCACTTCCTAGTAAGGGCTGGAGAATGTAATTAGTATATTTTGTAATATATTAACTCAAGTCTAATCGATAATTAAGTTTAATTTTATTACAATACTAAAAATTAGAGATTAATTACTTGATTATTATGTTTATTAAGATAAAAAATTTGATGATTGAGTTTATTTTCTTCTACGTATATGAAGTATGCCTGAACTTTTAAAACTATAGAAGAGAATTATTTTAGACATATATAATCACTTTCATGATCTTTGCCTTTATTTTAGGGCTTATATTATATAGATGAGTTTTGTATGAATGTTAGAATAGTATTTTGGGACACATTGAGTTTAGAGATACAAGAAAAATTTCATGTATTTGTACTCTATGTGGTCTTTATATTTATATAATTGATTATTATTTCTCTCATTCATAGAGTCAAATCACGTTTATTACGTGTCTCTTACTTTATAGTGATTTTGATTTTTTTTTATTATCTTCCCGCTAGTAAATTTCTAACATATTGTAATTATTACTTAATTCAACATACTTACTAATTACAAGAGTTACTTAAACACACCACATTTAATTAACTACAAGTACATACTCCCAAATCAAAATACTTAGTGATTTTCCAAATACAACCTAAATTAGATTCAACATATTATTAACCCAAACAACTAGACACTATGAACGTTGACCTTGAATTTGATAATAAAACTTAAACTTTTTCTTTGGTCATAATAAAATTTTATTATAAAAAAAACTTCTAAGACGTATTTGGTCACCATAATATAATTGCATGAGAATGTAATTAAAACCCTAATAACTACAATCATGCACTCCAAGAAATTACAAAATAAACACCACATATCACAAAAATCAAATTTAACTCTATTAATTTATATCATTACAACATTTAATATGGATTTAAATTTCAATATTTACAATTTTTTATAATCTTCGGATGACTTTGATATCAATCACAGCATGCATGGGAGATTGCGTTTGTAAAATGAAAACGTGGAAAATATAAGATTAGGGTTATGTTGGGATTTCTTTCTAAGATTCCATGAATTTGGAGAATAATATTAGAAATACATGAAGTCATGGATGACTTGATTTGAACAAATTTCTACCCCATTTTACAAAAGCTAAATGATCACGATGATACCAAAATAAACAAGTCATGGAGCAAATTTTCTTTGGAATGTGGAGATATGCGGTTCGCATGAAATGGAACGTGGATGTCATCTTCATGCACGTTACGTACATACATGCAAGCTACCCACTTGTTTATATGTTGCGGAAGACGACTATCGGATAGAGCAAAATCGCAACTAATAATTTGAGAAAATAAAAATGAAGATAAAAGAGACAAAATTTACGTGGAAAACCCCTAAATAATATAGGATAAAAACCACGGGCAACGGTAGAAGAATTTCACTATGAGAAAATAGGAATTACAACTTCTCTCGATCTACCAAAGAGAAAACAATGATAATTCTCTCTTGATAAAAAGGAGAAAACAACTTTCAATAAACTCTTTAAATTCTCTCTAGTATTGGAAGAAAGCTATAATGCTTTCGGATGGTTTTGAAGCTAA